TCTTTGCCCACCTCTAGTAGAGAGTATGACACTGGAAGATTGAGTTATACATGCATATTTTCTAAACCTTATCTATCTAATATGGAATTATTACAGTTGGGGGTTGGAACATTTGGTGTTACAACAGCAAACTAAAACACTAATGCACCACAATACACCAACACTTTACTTTTAAACACTGGAGGCGCGTTTCGCTAACCATGTTAGCATAATTGAGTTCTAATCATCCAACATGGTTGTAACTCACGTCCAGTGTTTAAAAGTAAAATGTTTTGGTGTATTGTGGTGAATTAATGATTAATTTTGCTAATACGGATTTAATAAAACCGCGTATAAATAAGTTACTGATGGTGAAAAGTGCAAAAGCGTATAGGCAAAAGGCACGTAAAAATATGGCTGCCTAAAAACGAAGAACTCCTATAGGTAAATTTATTTATAAATTTCGATCAATTGGAAATTACCATCATAAAAATACGCTACATCTACATGTAGAATTATTTTCAGACGGAATTTCTCAAGGATATTTTTTAAGAAATTCTACAAGGTCGTTGTCTAATCCCCCTCAAATTACGCCAATTTCTATACAAAACATACAAATACTCTTTCTTCTTCTTCGGCAGAAGCATACTATATATTGTGCTATATATTATTATTTCTTCATCGGTGGAATATTTCAAGTAAACAACAACACATAATATAATGCTGGTCTTTCGTTAGTATTTTTGTTGGGAAGGCCTTGAGAACGCCAGTAGCGAGCAGCTGGCAAGGTAAAAGTTGTTACCTTTCTGCTATTATCTGTCTATAGCAATAATATATATTCGTATGACCGTCTTTAGGTTTTGAATACAATTTTAATAAAATGAGGTTGTAATGTTTAAATACGGAAATAATATTAATATAAGCTCCGAATTGGAATTATTAATAAATAGCGTATTCTTTTAAGTAAATAGTGCAAATAAAAATACCTAGGTATCCAAAAATTAACTACTATAGCTTTAGACTGCAATAACTTGTTAATCCTATCTATTAAACTGGATTACGCCATCTAGTCATCGTTTACGTCGTCCTCAACTTTTTGTAGAAAATACATATCTTTATAAACCACACTTTACACTTTATTTACCATTATTTATCGATTTTAACAAGTATGTAGGTAATATTTGTCTCAAACATAAAGATACCAACGTTGATTGAAGAAATAATAAGAAGATGCGCAACCTTATGAGTGATTTCGTGGCACAACATATTATGTCCGAGATATAGCTGGCGCGTTACCGTTATATGTTCGAGACTTAGTTTCGCTCTGCGCCGCTGCGCGCTGATAGCCGTTTACAGCGCAGCGGTTAAAGAATACCGATGTACCGTAGTTCTGCTTTCAGTCGACAGAGTGCCGCAGACAGTGTTGCCAGAATTACGGATTAACCCGTATATTTACGGATTGTGGGTACAGTACGTTAATAATACGGATTTTCTATCATTAAACCATTTAATATAATATTACATGATTAAACAAAGAACGACGTCAGAGTTGGCTTGGAAACGAAGATCGCTGTTATTTCATATATAAAATATAATAATACATGTCAATAGTCGTCATTTCCAAGCGAAGTAAACGACTTTTTTCGATCATACAAAATATTTCGTACCTACCTGTAAAAGAATTTTTATTTTTGTTGTTTATTCTATCTTTAACAAGAATAAATTTTCGATACATAAACGCGGATATTTCCTCCCAAGATATTTTCGTCAAAACGTATTACAGATATTACACATTTCCATACACTGTCGCTTTTAGTTCCACGCCGTCTTTCATATACATATATCTTCGCTAGCTGAATTAGGTTGCCTATCTTCCCAATTCTTTCAATCAACGATACTAATATGTATTGCTGATATCGTTAGCTTATTTGCATTGCAAACATTTAAATATTTGTTAAAAAGTATGGTTTCGATATATCTCCCCAATTTTGCGTGGATTACTACAGTACGTCTGTCCGTTCTGTAGCTACGGGGTATCCGTAGGAGGGGAAACGATATTTTCTCGATGTTTTTCGGAAAAAATTAGACGACGCGTCCCATCAATAAAAATTCGACAAATTTGCAAGTAGCCAATAAAATGAGTGGGTGGAGCGATTTGCGGTGACGTACTCGTCAAGTCGACGTATAAAATATATTGCTGTTTATTTAAATGTTTTTTGTCCGCATTCCTTTCATAGACACAGATCCAGCAGACGTACTATAATTTAGTACTGTTCTAAATAATAAAAACAATTGAATATTGCATGTGTATATTAAACAGTGTGTTAAAAAACTATATTTGTTTATTGACAAATAAATTAGTTATAACAACGGACAGGTTCCCATACATAATATTTATTAATATTCTGATTCAAAGCCACATTTATTTAGAACAATTTAACAATTAACACAAATAACCAATTAAGGTTTTAATGGCCTAAATTGGACTATATTTATTGGCACTCTATTACAACAATATTTAAATAGTTTTTTTTGTTATCAAATAAACTAACCAAATTAACACTGTTCGTGCTAATATTGTTAGTGTGGAAAATTGGTAACTTCTATTAAAAAATCTAAACTGTCAAGATTCCAGAGTATATTGATAAATAATTATAAATTAAACAGGTTTATTTTATTTTTTTATGTCATAAATTAATGGACACTAATGGAATCTGATGAAAATAATATTTACTATACCCTGTGCAGAATAACATAAATAAAACTGTATAGTTAATACACTTATTAACTTATTTCTCATTAAATATTCTCAAAAATTTGATTATTAATATAGCACCATTAATTATTGTCTTTTTGTAGAAAAAAATTAAACTACATTACTTCTATGTTTCTCGGATATGTTTAAGTATGGTAATTCAATACAAAAAGCCTGAAGCAAGGTCAACATTATGAAGTAATTATGTGCTATGTAACCTTTAGAAGAAGTGTTTTTCAGTAACAGTAATCCAAGTAAGAAAAATAATTATATATTACTCATATTATTACACTTATGAATAAATTTTATACGATTGTATGTTAAAAGTTTTTAAATTTAAATCTTTATAGCTGTGCAAAAGTACTAAAACCAATATTTTTTTTAGAAATAAAAATTGCCTTGATTTATTTATAGTTCTTTATAGGTTTTGTTTAGTTTTATAAATGAATAATAGAAAATTAAACGACATATCATAAAAATTACCCTTTTTCAAGTTTTTTGTTAATAATTAACATATTACATCTATTCAAAAAAGAAAGAGTCAATTATTAACTTCTTTGAAATAGATGCACCTATTATGTTTCTTTCTGATCTATTATGAAAGAGAAAATTTCCAGTTTATAATAGGCAGCTGACGCAATAAAAGATTTTCCAAGTAAGACTTAAAGAACTGTAAAGAATTATTTATTTTGTGTTAATAATTATATTTCCTTGTAAGCTTGTATTTTTAAACATTAAAAGAATAATAAAAACATGATAAAAACTTAGAAATATTTCTACATATGTAAAATAATAACTTTGAAACAGTATTAAATACATACTGTATTAAATACAACAATATAGCAAAATTAAAGTTTATAAGACCTGCATCAGACCAATAATGACATACATATAGCATAGAAATCCGAGAGGAAACACTACAAGAAAACAAACAAGACCAAAAGCATGTTAAGAGTCGCTGAAATGAAGAACTTAAGAACAATAATGGGGAAGACTAGAAGAGACAGAATTAGAAATACAAATATCAGACAACAATGTGGAATACAGGACGTAGTGAGATGAGGTAGGCAAAGAAAAAGATAATGGTTCGCACACGTAAAACGCATGGAAGAAAACAGGCTACCACGCATAGCTCTTGAAGGGAAACCAATGGGTAGAGACAGCCAGGAAGACCTCCAAAAGATGGAAAGACAGTTGGTAGTCCATCTCCCAAGAAGTCCTACAGAGGCAAACTTAAAATTAACAGATCGACTAGATCTTAAATAAGTAAAAGAAGAAGAAGAAGACTGTATTCAATAATAATAATAATATTTTTATTCAAGATTATATTCACATAATTATTAGTTATTAGTATTACAATGATATATTAGTAATGACTAGGTAGGTATGGCTCAGAAACCACGAGAGGCCTTAAATTCATACGGGGAAAACCTTAAAAATCGAAAAAATTAGTGCCTTTGGTTAAAAAATTTGTTATAAACTCACCTCTAAATATTTCGAGGGTCTTCATTATTAAACTGGTCCTTCCTGTATTAACCATGTTGGATGATCAACCATGTGACGAGAAAAAAACAACGTGTCAACAAAGTGCCAAATATAGTACCAAAAAACTCTAACTAATTTGGACTCAACAAAAATTCTATCCTAAAAATATACAGTGAGAATACTGAATCGAGAAAAGCCAATATCACATCTGTACCTCTTTCATTGAAATTCGAACAATATAGCAAAATTAAAGTTTATAAGACCTGCATCAGACCAATAATGACATACATATAGCATAGAAATCCGAGAGGAAACACTACAAGAAAACAAACAAGACCAAAAGCATGTTAAGAGTCGCTGAAATGAAGAACTTAAGAACAATAATGGGGAAGACTAGAAGAGACAGAATTAGAAATACAAATATCAGACAACAATGTGGAATACAGGACGTAGTGAGATGAGGTAGGCAAAGAAAAAGATAATGGTTCGCACACGTAAAACGCATGGAAGAAAACAGGCTACCACGCATAGCTCTTGAAGGGAAACCAATGGGTAAGAGACAGCCAGGAAGACCTCCAAAAAGATGGAAAGACAGTTGGTAGTCCATCTCCCAAGAAGTCCTACAGAGGCAAACTTAAAATTAACAGATCGACTAGATCTTAAATAAGTAAAAGAAGAAGAAGAAGACTGTATTCAATAATAATAATAATATTTTTATTCAAGATTATATTCACATAATTATTAGTTATTAGTATTACAATGATATATTAGTAATGACTAGGTAGGTATGGCTCAGAAACCACGAGAGGCCTTAAATTCATACGGGGAAAACCTTAAAAATCGAAAAAATTAGTGCCTTTGGTTAAAAAATTTGTTATAAACTCACCTCTAAATATTTCGAGGGTCTTCATTATTAAACTGGTCCTTCCTGTATTAACCATGTTGGATGATCAACCATGTGACGAGAAAAAAACAACGTGTCAACAAAGTGCCAAATATAGTACCAAAAAACTCTAACTAATTTGGACTCAACAAAAATTCTATCCTAAAAATATACAGTGAGAATACTGAATCGAGAAAAGCCAATATCACATCTGTACCTCTTTCATTGAAATTCGAACAGATGGTACAAATTTTGCAAGGAAGAAGTCAACAACTCCACATTACAGCCCAGACTTGTGATAGCTGGCGACTGGCGACAGATCTCAACAATGAATCGAAGTAAAATGACCAAAAATGCAAGTGGCGGACCAGCAACGCCGCAAACCAAATGTTATAACAACGTTGCCAACTAAAGGAAATTCAAAACTAGACAAGGATTAGATCAGAAAGCGGTTTGCACAAACCTGTGCCACTTTTTTGTCAGATGCAGTCAACAAAATTTTTATAACCCTTTTTGTTTCTGAGCTACAGGGTCTTTTCGAAAATTTTGCAATTTGGGACCGCCCTCGTATCTCCGTTATTATGGATGATATCGAAAAGGTGAAAACTGATTCTTGTAGAACTTTTTACGTAGAATACAGAGGCGTAGTCTGTTTTTCTACGAAAAAAATATTTTTGAAAATATGGACTAAAGTTATGTTTTTTCAAATGGAACACCCTGTATATTATAAATCATATGATCCGCTTTGATATAAGCTTCTCAAATATATATATATATATATATATATATATATCACTCTATATTTATTTTCACTATTTACTGCAATATTTAAAATATATCATTTTCTTATTAGTAGGCCGTGATAAATAACAAAATCAAAATGGTATTTACTAAAATAGACATGCACATATTAAAATTTTATTTGGAATTGATATATTTTACTTTTGAACTGTTACCACTGAACCTCTAAATAGATTTTTCTCTTTTTTATAACGGAATTTATTATAATGGGATAGGTTTGCAAATATCTAAAAGCTTGCATTATTAAAGCATTATTCAGGTGTTCAACATCGTATTAGTTGCCACGATATATTTCATATTTCAAAAATCCCCAAAATCAGAAATCGAGAACAGACAAATCCGGGAATCAGGGATCATATTATGGGTACATTGGTTCCAATTGATTGATTTGAGAAATAACAATTTAACAAAATTCTAATACTTTCGTTGTAAGTTAAGTTGTGAGAGGGAAACCATCTTGCTGAAAGTATATTTAGCTAAAGGAATATTTAAAAGTTCCGATACGATAGCTTCCAAGATTTACAAATAGCGGTAGAGATTTAAGTTTCCCTAATATACAAAGAATTAATTAGTGGCTCTCAAAATAAAACAAGAGACAGATAGCAGTATTACTCTTAATAATTCTTTAGTTTCTTTTATCAATCATGGCCTACTAAAAAATGATCTTTTAATATGTTTTTTTAAATATTGCCTTAAATAATGAAAACAAATATAGAGTGTTTTGTCATTTTTGAGAAGCTTATAACAAGCCAGATCATATAATTTATAAATATACAGGGTTTTCCATTTAATAAAACATAACTTTAGTTCATATCTTTAAAAATATTATTTTCGTAGAATAACACACTACATCACTGTATTCTACGTAAAAAGTTCTACAATAAACAGTTTTCACCGTCTCAATACCTTTAACAATAACAGAGATACAGGGGCTGTTCCAAATTGCAAAATTTTCAAAAAGACCCTGTAGCTCAGAAACGAAGAGAACGATGAAAATTTTGTTTACGGCATCTTCCATTTGACAAAAAAGTGGCTCAGGTATGTGCAAACCGCACCCTTCTATCTTCACGAATAATGGAGATACCGTATGATTTCAACCAAAATGGGACACCCTGTACATCAAAGGTACATTTTTATTTATGTAACTATATACCTGGAGGCAGTCTGCAAAAATCAGAAGTGATGATGCACAAAATGTTGTAGGTGTAGATCATTTGTAGGTATAGTCACAGATTATACAGATTATAAACTTATCGTTAAAAGCATTGTTTTTCGTGGTTCCAATTTTCGGAGTCCGTGCACTAGTTAGGTTACTAGTTTGCGCACCAGCATGCCCACTTATGGCCTCTAAAATTGTGCACAGCGCCTGACCGGCCTTGTGACCGGCCCAATTATTACGCTGTTTAAACGGGAGTTTATTTTTGCGCACAAGAAAATGTACTCGTTTGCTCATCGTCATAAAAAACAATTTTCGTACCACGTATTAGGGACAAGATTTTTATCTGTATACTTATAGGATACCTAATCTGTGGTATAGTCGTAAATGACCATACAAAAACTATAATTTTTATTCATTTTACTTTGTTTTGTTTGTCACACTTATTTTTTAATTTTCTCTTAATATTTTCCTTTACAATAGGTTTTCAAATTTCACAGATCACAAAAAATTTAAGAATTTGTCAACTTTTTACAAAAAATACTAGAATAATATCTTTAAAGATTTGTGATTAAAAATTATTTCGTTTTTATTAGCATTGTACATTTTACACAACCCTTTAAAATATGTTTACGCGCTGCAAAATTTCCTAACAGAAAGTCATAAAAATTCGCAGAGGAAATTGTTGAGTTTTCCGTAAGTATTTCCCCGCATAAAAATAATGGGAACGCTACGTCGGATTGTGTCAGGTTCATGGAACGATTTTATTTGGAGATTCCTCTGGCGCAATATCTAAAATTGGGTACAAGGTCAGGCCAAGTGCGCCGCCACTGAGCTGTTACCTGCAGGTTCACGTGTCGTCTATACGAACAGAAATATGTGTGTCATTGGACAGCGAAACATAGGATGATTAGCTTTTAATCATTTTCCTGCTATGTGAAAAGAAACGATTGAAAGAAAAATATTACTCTAATAAATATACAGTCTAATTATACAGTGGGAGTCTTAAATAAGTGCAAATATTTTTATGGGTAATATAATTCAACACCGGAAACACGACTATGATGATTTTTTTTTGAAAATTTGGAATGTTTTGTCAAAAAATAGGTCATAACGAGTAGTACACATTGATCGTATATTTTCTTCTTTAGTTAAAGTGTCATTCTAGATTTGAATATGATTGAGTATATCTCTCTCTCTCTCTCTCTCTCTCTCTCTTCCATAAGTACTCCATGCTAACTTAATTCTTCTTATGATAGTTGATTTCTGGTAGTACAGATCCCGAGCTGTGTATTAGTTGCCTCAAATATCTATATTTTTATATTAATTCCAGTGTTATATTAGAATGTCTTTTCTGTTTACCAGTTCGTTGTACAGGGTGTCCCACTAAGAATAGCTCTCGGCTGTATCTCGGAAAGTATTAGCCATAGAGCCTACGGAAAAAAATGTTTATAACTAAAGGGACTATGAGAAATTGCTGGAAATTACTTTCAAGTTTGTTAAACGGCCGCTAGAGGGCGCAACTACTATGGAAAATAATATAATAGAATTTTTACAGAATTTTGCCTATAGATAAGGGGTGCTATAAATAATAGCTCCATAATCTTCACTACATTTTGGATTTTTTTTTGTTAGAACCATTTTCCCCTATCTGCTAAAATAAAGTGGTGGGGGAAGGTTAGATCTGTCTTTATTTAAATGTCAATAACTCCGGACTCTGGATGATCAGAATCCAACAAACGAGGGCTCCTTTAAAAGAGCGTTTCTTACTCTATGTTATACCATAAAAACAATAATAATAAGGTTTTGAACGTAGACGCTAGGGGGCGCTTTCTTCAATTTAACAAACAAAGCGCGTTTTTTAAAAAAACGCGTTTTTTTTAACGAGTAGTTAAAGCTTAAAAAGTCAGCGAAAACCGCATCGTGATATCTTCTTTCAAATCGAAGATATTAGCAAAATTATAATAAATACCAAAAAATAAGCCCTTAATTACCTTATTTTTACAACACGGTATCAGTAGCCATCTTGATTATGCCCATTCTAACAAAAAAATAAGATAGAAACAGTTTGTTTTAAAATCTACGAAATACCAGAATACCATAATACCAGATGTATTAATATCTAATAATTAAGATATTAATAACAGTGAAGAAGAAACGATGATTCAGTGAAGTCATGCTAGCTTTGGAAAAAAGTTGCTTTTGACGTAATAGTTTAAACGTCAAATTGTTATTAGATCAACATTTTGATAGTCTTGTAGTCTAAGAGCTAGCAACGTTTTCGAGAAAGTATTTTAAGACGTCTGGCTCTTTGATATATCTTTTACTATGCCCTCTGGAAGAGCATGCGGCCCGTCTGGCTGCCGATACCCGTTGCGTTCACTACTGCGCATCGGAAGAAGATCCTATATTTTTTATTACTTTAGTCCTATAAATTCTAGTATTGAATATAAACCGAACATGTCTCCATAGCGCAGTGCGTAGAGTTTCCGACTACGAACTGATGATTCAGAGTTCGATTCCGGGTCAGGTCAAAGACTTTATTATTTTATTTTCGTTTATATTCTGAATTCTGATAGTAAAGTATTAAATAATTCTGGTAATTAAAAAAAACAAATATTTAATACTTTACTATCAGAATATAAACAAAAATAAAATAAAAAAGTCTTTGCCCTGACCCGGATTCGAACTCTGAATCATCCGTTCGTGGTCGGAAACTCTTCACTGCGATATGGAGACATGTTCGATTTATATTCAATACTAGAATTTAAAGGACTAATAAAAATATGGGATCTTCTTTCAATGCGCAGTAGGGAACGCAACGTTTACCGGCAGCCAGACGGGCCGCATTTTGTTCTAGAGAGCATAGTAAAAGATATATCAAAGAGCCAGACGTCTTAAAATACTTGTTTTTCCGACGTTGCTAGCTCTCGTACTATTAACAGGGTTTTGATTATTATATATAATTTATTATATTTAATTTTTGCTAAATTCATTTTTTGAGACCTACTTCATTGCTAGCTGCATTTAGTTCGTCAATTATTTGAAGTGTTTATTATATTATACTTGCTTTAACAACAAATAAATTAACTAAAAAAACTAAAGAAACTACTCTGTAGATACATATTATGATATTTTTGTTAAATACAAGATTGTCGTATTATTTTAAAGGTAAATATAATATAATCAAGACATTCATATGCTTGGAGTTTCTGTGCAAATCATATCGTAAATTCTTTACAAGGTCTTTTGTTTAAATAGTGAATGTAATGTTAAATCGAGCAAATATAAAAACAAAATTACTTTATTTAAAATGTGTTTTATTATTTAAAATTG